AGATGGGTATAAGAGACAGCATATTAATAATATTAACATGGAATAGGCTTATATTGTAGAGTCAGTCAATCAAATTTCATATTACTGTAGGCCTATTGTAAATGTGTGTTCCAGTAGTGCTATATAAATAAGGCCAAGGCCTACACTCATGTCAAGCACCATGTTTTTTAATACATTGCAGTTATTATAAAATTTAAATGCCAAATTTGGCATTGCCTGCTGTTGTTTTACAATTCTGAAAGACAAAATGATTTTATGCATTTATGCAAACAATAATCTTTCAGGATTCAGTGCTGACGATTGACCATGCCTGGTGCTCGAACTAATCGGCAACTCTGTTTCGTGGGGCTATTGATGGTAATGTTAGCACTCTATGGTTGGATTAAACTCTTCATGATGACGATGACCTACGACTTTCACCCTAGACATGCTAGTATTGGAGATATGAAAGTATTTTCGACAGAACTGAAGCGGAGTCATGTATGTAAATATTACACTTATCAACTCTCTTACATAACGGACAAGGCTCTCGCATGAGCATTATAAAGATAAGATGCATAGGCCACCCTAAAATTCATATAAAGGGGTGGGGGAGGGGGCCTTTTGGAAAGCAAAAAACAGAAAAAGGAAAGAAAGAAAGGAAAACATTGATCGCCCAAAGCGCCTCATAGGTTATTTTCGGGCATTTAGAATGCCATATTTTAGCGGGGCCTCTAGGGTAGTGTTATCTCGATCATGCCCACTTTCGAACCCCCCACCTTTCAGACATCTCTCGTTCCCCCCTGTAGAGTGTGCTCAATTTTGTGAGTAGGACAAAAAAAAATTGTTTGTTTGCCCTCCTTCAAAAACTTTAAAAATAAAAAAAAAATGTGAGTGAATTTATCCTTATTTTTTCCAAGAAAAAGAAAGATAAGAAAAAAAAAGGAAACTTTTTCCACCTGCCCTTTTATTTTTTTGCCCCTTTTAGTCAAAAAGGGATTCCGAGCATATTAAAAATTTGAAGCACGCGTTATGACGCACACGCGTAAAATTAGGGTACATTACATTTAACATTGACTTGAAGTTAATGCTCACTTAATACGATTTCGAAATGGCAATTGGTTAGGCTGATATGATCGATAATATAAAAACGCAAAATTGCGCGTAGATGACGTCACGCATAACTGCGCACTTTGAAAACCTTATTGTGACTATTCCAGGCCAAGCTAAATGTTTGGTGAGACGTGCATGTACGAATCTCGTGCCAATTTTGAGATATCGTGTTAACAAGATATGGAGAGAAATGTAGAATATAAAAAAAAAAGATGATGATCTCTGACGATAACAAGAGGTGATCCGCTCGTGAAGCGGATCACCAAAAACAATTTATTTTTTAGGCCTTATTACATAGAGGGCAATATTATACACATTTTTTTTTTGTCTCATGCATCAGACACCAAGAAATTTGGCAGGTATGAAAGATGAAGAAAGAAAAATAGATCACACATAATTTAATCATGTGAAATGTTGACTAACCAACCTATTATTACACTTCCATACCTTGTTGTATTTCAAACTCCACGTACATTGCCCAGCATATTATTTTTCAAACCAGCTTGAACATATACTTTCCAAGATGATTTCAGATTTGTGTTAATTTTTTTAGGACTGGTACCATAAAGTTTGCTTCAATGGACTTCGCCAGGAGTTTTCAATATCCAGGTTGGAAGATTTTCAAGAAAGGTGGAAAGTCTCTTCCCAACCAGACTGCAGGTTAGAATATTGATTAATATTGATTGGTATTGATTGAAGTGGAGCCATAATTTGCAAGTAAGATGCTTGCCTTCCAATCCCAGGGTCATTAATATATAATGTATCCAAGGACAATATGTATTCAAGTAGCCTGATTTAAAAATTTGGTTCATGGAGCGGTTGTATGACTCGCTTGTACTCGGTGGGTGGGACCCATTAAAATTTTTAAAAGTTTAATAAAACATTTTATATATTAATTATACAATATCTTTCTTATTCAATCGCAAATTATCCCCACATTATATCTGCATAGTTCATTTTTTAATATTCCAAAATTTCTTCCCTAGATTCTGTTAATATGTATCACAGATTATTTTCTCCAGATCTACATACAATATGTTTGAAAGGATTTACGATGTCAAAAGGAGGTCAGGTCAGATCATTGTGCCAGATACTTTTCAAACTAAACTGCTCAAGTGGCTGGGAAACAGTGAGGACTTGTTACGCGAAGCCAAACTTCAAGTAAGTTTACAACCAAGCAGTGGAAAAGAGTTAATGGGAATCTCTGAGTGTTTCAATATTAATACAGTCGACTTCGAGACTTCTTCTAATTCCAAGACCTCTTGCTCAAAGAACCAAATAACAATCGTCAATATCTCAACGCAAAGCTAACCCTCTAAGTAGAGACAGAACCACCCCAAATTTTCAGGTCTGAAAGTGGAGGGTGCACTGTATAACAATCAATTAATAAACCAATTGACAAAGCATTTACTAAGCACCAATATCAGTGCCAGAATACAATGTTTGGTGGTGTAATTGTAGTCCAGAACACTCTCGTAATACAACATCATCAGCACTGTTGTGCAAAAAGTATTTTTTCCCCTGGTTACAAGTGTAATCATGGTTTAATAAAGGAATCATTAAAGATGGTTACTGGTGACCAATGTAATAACAAATGAAATATTGTTTAATGTCGAGGAATTTTGCTGTGTATTAATTTCCTAATCATTTATTAACAATGAAGATGTGTATAAGAGACAGGCGTTTATCAGCCATAAGGTATGCTAAAGAGAACGGTGGGAATAACTATTTTACAGAACTTCTACAGGTGGGCAATGATTTATTTACTTTATGACATTAAAATATGCTGCTTATGTTATGTAATTCATCTCATATAATAATCCTATTTGCTCATTACCCTGCATTTTGGGTGCAATTATACTATTAACTTGTATGAGACATAAAACAGACCAAAGAATATTAGTATTGAAAGGTCCATTGATTAATCTCAGGTAAGAAAGTATAAAGTAATACGTACTCCAAGTATTGAAATACCCGCCATTGTGTTCAGGCCTGATGATGTCATAATTAATGTTGAAATATCCCAACATAAATTGTTTTAACTTTTTTCTGTCCTTATTTCAGGTTCACAATGCATTAGGTTTAGCAACAAAGTTTGGCAATGCTTCAGCGATGGCATATCTTACGCCAAAGAACGATAATGAAGTTATAATTATGTCAAAAACAGCAAATTTAGATTTTTTTAGGTGAGTTGCATTGTTATCAACTAGTAAACAAAACAAGTGTACATGTACGAAAGTCGAGTAGATACATTTAAAATATGTATTAAAAACTGGTACTTGACGTTATGATGTTTTTTAGTATACTAAGTGGGCTCTAACATATCAGGGGTGCTAGAATGATCATCAACTTGAAATGTTGCTTCAATAGTAGCCTTCAATTTGGATAAAATTTTTACTAGAATTTTCATTTAATTTAATTTATTTGTCTTAATACAAGAGACAAAAAAATACAAAAAGGGTATTTACAGAAAACAAAAAAAATACAAAACTTGCCAATTGCAAAAAAGTATACAGGACTCACAAACGTGATAATAATAATAATAATAATAATGTTACATGAAACCTAACAATACACAGCTAAATGCAGAAACATTATTTAAATTGTTACTGTATTTATAAAATTTCATTAATTTTTTTTTTTTAATTCACAAAAAACCTCAATACCTGTGTATGAGCTAAAATCCTTTTTTAGCATGTTTAGTTTGTATCAGTACTTTTGTTTTATTGTTGTATCATCAGACTATTTGCATTTCCATTCCCAACCTTAAATTTGGGCATGGGTAGAATATTTGTCAAAGCAATTTGGCGCAGAGAAAACAGTTTGGTTTTGTATAAATCTTGTGCATTTCACTTGTGGCCTGATGGGGTTGCCTGCTCCTGCAATGATTACAACAGCAACACTTAAACCCAATGACCTGGGGGAAAAGTACTTTGTATGTGTATATAAAAAAACAAGTATATAAATATTTTGGGTTGGAGCATACATTGATACATAAATGAAAGTCTATGTTACATGTATAACTGTATCAATATTTTTTAATGATGTTATTTTCCTCCTAGGTTGTTATTTTATGTTATAAAAGCATTTACAGAAGATATGAAGCTATATGCTTGGAGTCTTGCCATGTTCCTACCAAAATTAGTGAGTATAAAGAAAAACAAAACATTTGTTTCCAACATATTGTACAGTGGAATCGGTTCGGTTTCCCAACCTCAAGTTCTGGGTTCCAATGCGTTTCGCTTGTGTCCTTGAGCAAGGCACTTTATCTGCATTGCTCCTCTCCACCCAGGAGCTTAAATGGGTACCTGGTGGGGTTGCCTGCTCCTGCACTGATTACCAGCAGCAACACTTAAAACATGTGGACCCAATGACCAGGGAAAAGTGCTTTATAACCTCAAGGAACAGGTGCATTATAAATGCCTGTACCAGTACCAGTAAAGATGTAACTTGGTGGTGAAGGTGCTTGCCTTTGTGCTCTACGACTGGTGCGCGACCTCCTTGTTGTAGTGAGTTAGCCTAGACTAGTCTTTGAAAACAAAGTGCCCAAACAAAAAAAAAATAGAAAATAGGGTTGCATAAAAACGTGCAGTGCTTTCGGGTGTCAAAGTACTCAAAAGAATATATGTGTCTGGAAATACGAAATTTGCCTCAGACTGCTGGAAGTCCCCCAATGAAAAATTGCGAGACATTGGTGGCGCTGTTTCAAAAAATTTGAGACCACCTTTGGGACCAGGAAATTTGAGTAGTCTCGGGGTTCGGTTTCCAATTAGAGGGCTATCTTTGTGTTATTGGAGGGTGCACTGTATTTGTAATTTGGCCATACTGTATATGGGAATGATGATGTCATAATCACACCCACATATGACTTGTTATAAAGCTTGTTTAGTGTGGACAAAGTTTTATTCTGGAGTACTGTAATTGCTGGTGTATGTAAGATTTAAATAAATAATTGATTTAGTTTCATTATATTTTTCAGGAGCCATGGGTAGCACCAGGTTTTGACGACATTCCAGCTTTAGTTCGTATAGTTAGTCGGGGTCCAGTAAACAGCCCCCGTTCAGATATTAGTGCAATGGAATTATTTGGAGTAAGTTTTGCTTTAATTTTTTTTTTTTTAACTAATAGTTGAGTCACAGGGAAGATTAAAAAACAGGGGCTGAAAAAAGGGGACATTACCATTTCATATCATTTATTTTGTCTTAAACTTGGGGAGACAGGATAACCAAAAGTATACTAAAATACTGTTAAGTGGCTCTCAAAACTGGTAGAAAAACGGAAACATAAAATTGGTAAAATTACTCAAAAAAAATGAAAGAGCAAATACACAGAACAGATGTTTTTTTTTTTTTTTTTTTTG